ATTTTCTCTTAGGTAAGGATATACAATGCAACTTGAGCAAAGGGATCAAAATTAGATGGAAAACATTTAAAATGCAAATTTAGGATCATGGTATTAATATGAAAATAATGTCTTCAACACATCCTAACTTCCCCGCGTTTCTATGGATGCACCAATTCTTCACAGATTAGATGTGCCTTCTTTACATCTAAATCTCTAGGATATTAAAAAGAAAGCCCTTCGTTTTCATGCTGCCTATATACAGAATTTGTTTTCAAACGGCAGCAAAGGTGATTATAACTGTATTCTTCTGATAAAGGAAACGACAGCATGCTTTAGAGATCAAACTTTGCAGCATATGAAAGCATTTAAAATCCAAGTAGGTGGTTAATCACTCTACAAAAAGGTGAATTTCTGACACCAGGCTTAAAGGATACAAATGGAGCACAGGGACTTATATGCCACCCAGTTGAAGCTGGGGCTGATAGAAACACAACTCACGTTCTCTGCCCTTCGGCCTCACTGGCAGGAGACGACACCCACCGCGGTGGACTTGCCTACAGCCCTTGCTGCAGACTCATTCTGCTGGGGATGGTGTGGGGAATAAAACTGGTAAAAAATAAAAATAATAATAATAATTTGGGACGCCTGGGTGGCTCAGTGGTTGAGTGTCTGCCTTCGGCTCAGGGCATGATCCCTGGGTCCTAGGATCGAGTCCCGCCATCAGGTTCCTGCATGCTTCTCCCTCTCCCTATGTCTCTGTTGCTGTCTGTGTGTCTCTCATGAATAAATAAATAAATAAAAATCTTCACAAAAATAATAATTTGGCAATTTATAGACTTTAGGAAAGAATATTATGTGTGTTACTTCTCAAACAGAGAGAGGGTTGCTCCACTGAAGCAGAGGGTAGAGAAGCGCAGAGATACAGCTAACAGGTGGACGTTAGGGATGGTGATGAGACTTTCTTTCTTTTGGGTCCCAGCACTGCCATTTGCAACCATCACCAGCCACTGAGCAGCGGTGACCTGCACTGAGGGCTGCCCTTTCTTCACCTCCAGTCCTTCTCTTTTTTGGCAAAAGCCTCTCGGAATCGCTGATGGGGCGCAGGAGGTCACTGGGGAACACAGCACGCACGTTTCAGCGAATGCATCCCACTAGCGTGGGCTCAGGAAGCACAATATTTCAGATGCCTCGCCCCTCCTGGAGCCAAACATGGGGCATGGTGCAAGGAGAGAAGGAATGCAAGCAAGAAATGGGGCTCAGGAGGGTCTGGAAGCCTCTCCCACCCTTGGGAGAGGCCCGGCCTGAGGACAGAAGCTGAGCTTTTCACAGGCCAACAATAGCTTCAAAAAAACAACAAAACCAGAAACGCCTCGAGAACCGATATTCTACGACTTCCAGAAATAAATGTAAAGATTCGCATCTTTTGGGAACATAAAACACGCAACAGCAAAAAAAAGAGGGTCTAACTAATTTGCAATTGAAGGGAAAATGTGGACCTCCCCACTTATTTTGAGGTGTGAGAATACACGCTTTCGGATGCCCAGGGAAGACAAGGCGCTTGCATCTTGACAAATCAATAATAAATTCAGCCCTACCCAAAGGCGCTCTGAATTAATTTTTAGATGGCACCTCCTTCTTACTCCCTTGTTCCGCTTTTAGCGGACACCAAGAAAGGGACAAAGTACAATAAAAACCTAACAACCCAACAAAGATGTGGTGAACCAAAACACACATCTATCCTCTTCGCTTCTGGGCACGGAAGTGAATTTCTGACAAATTTAATACTAACTTGGGAGTAACCAATCCCACTTACAATGATCATGCTGGGAAGAGAAATTCATTAAACGTCTCCGTGATAAAGACCCTCCCCCCCCAGCCAACCCAGAATAAACACGCAGTTGGAGGAGGACACGGCGCTTGAAATAAAGGAGGAAGAAGGGGAAGGCAACGTTTAGCCCATCTGTTCGGACAGTAATAGGACGAGGTAATCTTTCCAAGGGAACACGGGGCGCATTACGCTGGAAACGAGACTACCTGGCGGGCAGAGCCGGCGAGTCCCTAATTCTCCTCTTCAACTTTGCAATTTGCTAATGTGAAACATATGCCTCCCTTCTGCACCCAGTTCAAATGACTCTGGAATCCCAACCGTGCAGCTCAGCGACTGAACCAGAACAAGGAGAGAACTTGTCAGGATTTAAGAGCTTTCAGCAAAGCCCTTCAATTGCAGCCAGCACCCTATTCCACGGAAGGATATCAATTATAGATAGTGACTTGCTTTAGCAGGCAGTCGGGACTGTCAGACACTAGATAGACAACCATGAAGAATCATGAATCTTTCTATTAACTGTAAGAGGGGGAAAAAGAATGGGTCATGGCTATAAATAAGGCAAAGCATCAGAATGCTTTAACACCTTGCCTCTTGGTCGCATGTAGCATGAAAATGCAACTAATTCACAGAATGTCGTCTCTCCGAGGAAAGACACGGCGACAGAAACAGTTCATCCTTCCCTCCGTCCTTAAAGAAGTAGGTTGCAGAACTGGTATATTTTTTGTGTTTCCGTTTGCTACCAAAATGATTAGGTGGACGTGGAGCCATTCTTTCAATCGGCAAAAAATAAAGTGCCCGCGCTCCCCCAGGCCACCGCTAACGCCACCAGATATACCCACGGGGGGGAAGGTACCTGTACGTCAGGCAAAGGGCAAACTCCCCTTGAACACACAAATCTGGACTCTCCACACTTCGGGTAACAAGCAAAGAGGGTGGGAAATAGTGCTAGAAACTGGTGGTTTTATTTAGGTGGTTGCAAGTTCTATAACTTTAAGCCATTTAACGTACATACTTTATCTCAGATTAAAATTAATATCATAAAGGTAATATATTGGATTTTCTCCTACCCCTGACATGAATTCCTTCTGGCTGATTTGGAATACAAAAATTTCCATGGTACACGGATTCATTCTCTCTCTTTTTTTTTTTTTTTAACGGTAAGGCCCATGACACAGTGGTCATGTAAGTTGATCGTGTAAGCAGATCTACCCTAAAACCACTCAGATTTCCCTCCCAAAACATCATCACTACCTTAAAAGCTTTCGCCACAGAGATTATCTACACCTCCAAGAGCCGTGGTCTCTGAAAAGCTTTCACGTTAGGTGGGCAGCGGGGAGGTTACAGACGCTACCTTCAAACCTGCTCCTGCTCTCTAATGAGGAGCTCGATTCCTTCCAACTGCAGGCTCAGAACAAGCTCCTTGCTCCATCCGGCACCTGCTAACAGCTGAACCATCATCACAAGCCCCCCTTGGAAACTACAGTGACTTATCCTCAGAAAAGGCACCAGGGTAGAGTGTCACCTCTCAAGAGGACGTTTTTCAAGAGCAAGCAGCACGGGCAACGTCTCGTTCACGATGGCAGTTTCCATGCAAACAACTCCTCACGTCTGACGTTTACTCACTGTACCATGAAGGGTATTCCTGGCATACTTGCCCCCCCGGGACTACCTGCCTACGCTAAAAGAAACATGCCAAGCTCCCCCACCCCTTTGCTATTACCATGTCTCTGGTTTCCATTAAGACTCAGCAAGCAGGAAGGGCCATTAAGAGAGGCCTGGCTTAAAAATAACACTTGCATCAAACTAGAGAGAAAGCATCGAATTAAGGTCATGGAAAAATCTGGAAATACACCTTAATTAAAAACATTCGACTTTCTAGGTTCTTGCTGTGCTGAGGAATCCAGAATTCTTCCTACACAATTACAAGGAGACATGGTTAAAAAAGGAACGGGCCGGGGAGAGAACCGTGCTGATGTCACGCTGGCGCCTCAAAACATTCTGTGCATCACGGATCGCAAAACCTGGAAAACCATCTACTTCACACTTAGACGGGCCGGCGAGGTGTGGACCACATCACGGCACACAGGCCAAGTTGCAGAAGACACCCTGGAGGAGCTCACGCGGCCGGTGAGAAATGCGGGGTGTGTCAGGAATGGTTATCACTGCAGCGTCTAAATGGAGAAGGGTTATCAGGAAATAGGGATCATCCCAAATTAAAAGTTGCCAAAAAGGAAAAGAGAACAGGGTGAGCGTGTGCAGTGGGTGGGCAGGGGACTCACAATGGAGCGCCTCTGTCAGATGTCATGTCACATAAAAATAAGCTGACCAACCAGCCACACGTAGCAGGCCGTCCTTACTGCCTCGATGGGACCCTGCGGCTTCGTAAGTCTTGGTTACGGAGCGGCCCTTCCATCCTCTGGCGTGAACGACAGAGCCAAATCCAAAGAAGCCGTGGCAAAGGAAGTGAGCCTAGCCCGGGACGTACATGCCCGTGGGGTGGGGAGTGCACTGCGTTATTGGGAATAAAAACCAGTAAGACGAGGCGTGACCATGCTGCAAAAATACACGCCCCTGAACACATTCTACAATGACCCATCACTTTGTCCGTGGGACTACCCGCCCTGCAAATGGTTGGCCTTACATCAAGGAGCTGCGCTAACAGCTTCCCCAGGCCTGTTCCTATCCCACCTAGAAGACTCATGGCTGCGTAACATAGTGGGACGTTCCCACGACCCTGCAGGTTTGGAGGAAGACTGCAGAACAGAAGGAAAAACAAAAAAACAAAAAACAAAAGGAACCGCCCCCCCACCCCCACCCCGGCCCCCTCTACAATTTTTCCTACCGTCGCTGGGTGTAGGAGAAGAGAATCAAACTTGGTTAAAAGGTTAATAATAATTCATGTCCAGCTTACTATTACTCAATAACCATCAAAGACGCTAACTCAAAATAGTGTTTTCGGGCTTACAGGATCAGAGTCATTACGCTCTCTATTGAAGACTTTATTGAATTTTACACTAAGCTTTAGCTGACTGAACAGGTCAAGCACCCGGGCTCAGAGTTTTCTTTCTTCTCAGAAAGTCATAAAGCCCGTTCCCGTTTGCAACGCTGCTGGCTACGAAACCTGACTCAGCGCAGGGTCAGGGCCAAGGTCACGTGGTTGCAGAGCCCACTGCCCGGGCCCCCCACTCACGTGCACCAGCTGCTCCTGGGTGTCAAACTCCCGCGTGCAACCTTCCCAGTGGCAGTTGGTCTCATAGATGACCTCGGGCTCTTGTTTGCTTTCGTCTCTGTCGCCCTCTTCCTTCACCAGGGTTGTTCCTTCTGGCTGTTCCTGGCGGGGAGGGGTGGCGAGGTAGGGTGGGGAGGGAGGGGAGAAGGGGGGAAAATCAGACACAATAGAAGGAAAGATAAGAGAAAGGAAAAACAAAAGCAAAAACAAAAACAAAACTTCCATTGGTCTTCATCCTGAGGCAATTTTTCAGTGGAGGGGGGAAAAAATAGGAGCCCAGGTCAATCAGCTGGATTTTGTGAACAGAAGTAGTCAAACATATGGAATCATTTGTGTGCATGTTTTCTGATTTACCAACTATGTCTTCAGAGGTTGTTAATTTGGGATGTAGGAACAGTCCAAACCGTAACGGTGATAAGAAGCTGAGACCAAACTTGGCCCCTGAACACGAGGGAAGAGAGAAATGAGAATGTCATCCCGAAAGAGAAGCAATGAAATGAGGTCGCGTCGTCTTTACCCAAGAGACTGGCCTTTGCTCTTTCAGTTAGATTCTTTCTAGTGTATTAATTCGTTTATCCTCATAGTTTGGAATCAGGGAAATGGTTGACTAGGAACTCTAACTCCGCTTTCCCTGCCTCTGGAGACTGTGAGCCGCACTCTGTGGGCCTCAGAGGGATCACATCTTCCTGGTTCAACTTCCCATCTGCAAGGACGTGGCTCGCTGCCCAAGAACCACAGCATCTACAGCTTGGCGGCGGAGTCTTTTCTACCCTGAGGTAGCTTCAGCAATAAAAATGAAAAGAATTTCCAGAATTCTGGGAGATGATTAGGTGCAGATTCAGGATCTCATCTGGGGCAGGGTGACAAAAACTGTATTCAAGTGTTTAGGCGGAACCAGCCAGGCGATTGGCCGGCAAAATTCAAGAAGGCTGGATTTCAGAACCTATGACACCCACTCATTCCATCCTCAAAGGGCTCACTGGAAAGGAAATCTGGGCGGAGGGAGTTGGAGCTTGGGGCTGATGCAGCCTGGACGTAGAAAGGTCCAGATTCTGTGGATGTCAAGATTCCTGTTCAACCCCTATTTCTGGGAATTAACACTCACTGACCTCCTTCCTGTGTCAGGCACAGGGGCCCTAGGAGACAGTATTACAGGCGTAACAAACACATCTTAAAACTGAAGCCTGGAGGAGCTAAAGGCCTAAAAGCAGAGACCAGACTGGAATTTCTAAACTTGCCCTTTCAAGACTCTGGTTAAACAACCAGAACCTAACTGGCTTCAAGTTAGTTTAGTTGTGCCTTGATCCATCCCTCCGTTCTCCAAGCTCTCCCGGCAAGTGGAAAAAGGCAAAATAAGAACAAATAAGACCATGGTCTGTGTAAGGAATATCATCAACTCTGCCCAGCTCGGGCTTAGGGCCAGTAGTTTGTATTTCCGGCCCGAGACCAGGGCTAAGGACCGAGGCTTGGTCATATCAGTGATCGGTCACAAATTAATCCCACCACTTAGACCATGAACTGCAGAACTGCAGTTCCTACCCCGCACAGCGTTTTTTGTTTTTTGTTTTTTTTTTTTTAATGATAGTTACAGAGAGAGAGAGAGAGAGAGAGAGAGAGAGAGATGCAGAGACACAGGCAGAGGGAGAAGCAGGCTCCATGCACCGGGAGCCCGATGTGGGACTCGATCCTGGGTCTCCAGGATCGCGCCCCAGGCCAAAGGCAGGCACCAAACCGCTGCGCCACCCAGGGATCCCCCGCACAGCGTTTTAGTGTTTGCTTCTGCGTTAGAGAAAGAGACTGAGTCAGACTCCGTAAATGGCCTTGTGTCAAATGCGGGGTATGGCTAAGGGCCCAGGCCAAGAACACAGTGGACAAGGAAATGCTGTCAGAGACATCATCCTGGAGGAACCAGCTGGCCGCCAGAGCCCCGGTGCCTCACCTGCTGGCCCCGTGGCCCCGGGCTGGGTAGGTCTTCGTCAGGTTTGATCTTGGACCGCTTGTTGTGCATCAGGTCACCAGTGCTACTCACAGCGGACTCACTTGTCGGCTTATTCTGCTGGTCACATTTGCAGGGACAGGGACAAAAACAAACAAAAAACACACAAAAGTTTTGATCAATAAATGGACTATAGCTATAACATGGAACTGTATACTGTATATAACATGAAGCTGTAGACGAGCAGGCCTCTCTGGAGGCCTAGAGTCCTAGAACAGGACTCTGATCATGCCCCATCCCATGACAGCAGAGCTCAGAAAATGTGTTCGAAGCCAGAGAATGCATCCATGAGGCAGCTCCTTGTTTTCAACTCATGAGTATAAACTCCTCATGGCTTTTTCAAAAGCTAAAAGAACAGAACAGGGGGCCTGGGCTTTAATGAGCTCCAATAGTGCTATTTAGAAGAACAAAGTTGCGAGGTGGGTAGCAAACCAAAAGAAAGTTTGCAAAGTTCTTTAATTAAGGGATTCAGATTCTTCTCTGAGCCGTATTAGTGAGGAGACAAGAGCAGAGGGCACAGCATGGTTTGAGTCTTCCCGGGAAGTATCACACGATTCTAGGCGCCAGTGGATGGTCGCCAGATGAGAGCGACGCCTCCATGCAACGTATGGGTTACACAAGCACCGGACCAGAGGGAGCCCAGCCCTCATCAAGCAGCCTGCCTTGCTACCATGGATGAAATGACTCTGGGGGAAGAAGCTACTGTTTAACGAGGACCACACACATCACATGGTCACCAACACTGGAGACTGCGGCCCAGGGTTAGGACGACGGCAGTCTTAAAGCCACGAGAACGCGTAGGTACTGGGCATGATCAGAGCTCAGGGGGAGGTCGGGCTCTCCTCTAGGACTACCAGACTGTTGGACTCATCGAGCTGTCTCTCTCACCTGTGAGGACTCAGAAGGACCAGAGGTGACCTGGACGGGGTTGAGCACCGTAGGGATCCCAGGAATAGGCCTCTGCGTTGGAAAAGTTGGAGCAGGGTGGATGAGCGGAGGGCTGTGTCCAAAGGCCGAGCCTAGGCTCTGTTGTCGGCTTAAGATTTGCTGATGCATGTGGAGAGACACGGGTGCAGAAGGGTAGGTGAAGCTCAGGGCAGGGCTGCAGGTGGGGAACAGAGAGTACAAGACTGTCACTCACACGGAGCGCAGAGACTGCCGCGGGCACGTCGTGGCCGCGCCTCTGTACCGGTGTTATTACCATCCCCAAACGACATCGGGTCTGTGTGTTCAAATTAGAAGGTAAAAACGGTCACTGAGGAACATCCTGGACGCTTCCAAGGGGAAACGTGGCTCCTAAGGCAAGACACGCGGGTGCGTGCGCCCAGACACACAGACCCGACATAAGACTCGGCACAACGGAAACAAAAGGCACCAGCTCAATAACAGCTATTTATTGCAATAACAAACTTTATATAAAAAAGAGAATGGGTGACTACATGCTTTATAGTACTTTTATTGGCTCTCACTGCCGTATGTTGCTGTGCATGGACCAATTCCTTTAATCTCGGCTCACGCTGCGTGCTTTCATATGTCTCCGGATCTTATTACAAGAGGAAGGAAAATCAATTGGTTAAATGTGTTTTGAACACCATGCTTGTCATATCACTCATTTGTTTGTAAAGATGGAAAGCTTGGTTCATCCAGAATGCCACCTAAAGAATTTCCATCAGTGCCGTCTGGTTACAGAAGCTGATGGATTAACCTCTCTTGGCTGAAATCGGTGATCAATGGGCTTCGGTAGAGGAATATTCCAGTGGGAGGGCACAGCTCCCTCTCCCAGCTAAAGAGCAGTAAATGTCCGGGAAAGCCCATTATACATGCTAATGCCTGTCACCGCTTCATTACGCCCCAGCACCGTCCAGCCTCCAGTGGGCCTCGAGGAAGCCACACTATTACCTGAACATTTCTCGGCGGGCAGACAGTCCCGAACCGTTCTTTGTGCTGGCACAGTTTAGGAATCAAATCCTCTTAAGAGAATGAAGGGTTCTCGGGGAAATGCGTGAAAAACTATAATTGCATTCATGCACATGTCTTTCTTAAAACATAAATCAGTGGCAAAAAAAAAAAAAAAAAGAAAAGATGGATATTTATATATATTTGCTCCGTCCTGCTGTGTAATACCCAGAAAGAATCAGGGTTTCCTGTCATGTCAAAGGTAGGATTCATGCAAATTTCCAATCTGGTGGGTTAATTACTATTGCTGGTAAGCGCATTAGCTGAGAATATAATAATTACAATAACAAAATTCAGACCACTTCAACAACTTTGGGTAATAATTCCGAAGATATACTCCGTTCATTAATGTGACTCCACATTTTGCCTATTTGACTACAATCCATGAAAGGCGGCTTCAATGGGATTACATTACTATTATTCCTACAGAGAACCTTGCATTACAATAGCTTGCCCATTTAAGACTGAATATCATTAAGAATACCCTCGGAGAATTTCACCCAGCTTGGAGGAACCCTCCTTTCATTCCGCATTGTAGTTCTGTAATAAAGGCAAGCAGAAACAGGGTGAAAACAGTCATTGTTCATGGCAAGTTAGGGAGAAATCAGTAATAATATTCCGTTTCTGCAGTGCTATAGTTTCTGCCCGTGTTTCCGAAAGCAACCGTGAATGATTACAGCGAGACTCCGCTAAGGTAGCTGTGTGGATGATTGATAGGGCATTAATCAAAAGATGCATATCTGCCCCAGAATTTGTTCACAAGCTTTCTTCTAATAGCTGATTTCATGTTCACTGAGCTCTATGCCAGTTTGTCCAATTTATTTTTCAGTGTACAAGCCATTCATCAAAAAACACAATGATTTAACGCCCCCCCCCACCCCTTTCCTTTTGGTGAATGGGTATTACTAAGTCCAAGTACCTTATTCTGCTCATTAAAAAAGCAAAGACCCAAAGACCCCACTCCACATACATTTGCAATGTGACACAGAGTTTGCGGGAGCCTCCGGACACCTTTCCAGAGTTTCCTGAGCTCAGGCCGGCGTGGAGGGGGCGCCTCCGGCCCCTTGCACGTCGGATGCGGGAGGGCACCGCATCGGGGGGCTCAGCACGCCAGGACCCGATTAAGAGTCGAGGCCTTCAGAGGAAAGATCCCACAAGGCAGGAGATGCTCTCGGTGGCCTGTTTCAGCGATTTACCGGCGTCCACAGCCGGGCAGGACGGGTCCGATTTTACTTTCCAAAAGATGTCAGAGGGAAGGAAAGCAAGTTCCAGCCTCCCCCTGACCTCAGCAGACTCGGGGAAGGGCAGGCACGGCTCGCGACACATCTGGGGGGCGTCGCGTCCCCTTGCGGGGAGAAGCAGGTGCCAGGAATACATTCTCCAGAATGCAGGGGCTCTCGGCTTCCAGGGGACACGATGGGGCTCGCCTCGCCGCTTATTCCGAAGGAGCCAGCCCAGCCACGCTGTCCCCCAGGAGTCCCGGGCAGGGGGCCGGGTCCCGCCCCGCACAGCCCGCGCTGCCACCGGCTCCTCGAGGTGCCCGGGCGGCGGGCTGCTCCTCTGGGCCACAGAGCCTCTCTGGAACTCGAGGACCGTCGCGGCCCCTGGCGCTGTCACGGCAGCAGCAAGGATGGGGAGCCCGGCTCCTCCTGCTCACGGGGGAGCGCGGAGGTGGGGGCGAGCAGAGGCCCCCCACGCTGGTCCTGCGGGGTCCCTGCTGAGCTCAGCACAGTTGCCTCCCTTCTGTCAGCTGGGTCTTAGCTAAACTGTCACCTCCTCAGACAGCGAGGCCTTCTGAGACCCAGGCCCCCTCGGAAGGAGCCCCTCCCCTCCGATCACCTGCTGCTGGAGGACACTGCTGTTCCCTGGCCACACCTGCGCTCGGCCAGTCACACCCTCCCTCCCTCCAGACCCTGGCGTCCCAGGGAGCAGGCCCTCGGTGCCTGGAACACGGCCCAGCACACAGCAGGCGCTCAGGATTGAGCCACTGAGCCGCCGGCCTCTCCTTCAGTCTATTAGTTCCCAGTTACTGCTGCGACAAATTATCACAAACTGAGTGGCTTAAAACAACACACACACACACACACACACACACACACACACACACACACGCTACCTTACTGGCTCATGGAACCAGCCCTGGGTGCTTCTGGAGCCTACAGGAGTCCTGCCTCTTGCAGTTTCTAGAAGCTGCCTGCATCCTCTGCTTGTGGCTCCATATCACACTCCCACCTTCCTCTTGTAAGGATGCTTTTAATTACATCAGGGCCACCCGAATAATCCAAAATAATCTCCTCATCTCAAAATCCTTGACTTACCATGGTTACAAATGTCCTCAAGATGAGGACCTCTTTGGGGGCCTATCAAACTCCAAATACTCAATTCAAAGAAAAATACGTTTTCTTCCGAAAACCGCCACTTGGCGATGTGTCTATAAAACAATATAAACAAAGCTAGTACCTAGATTCATGTCTTTCTATAGAACTTTAGGGACTGAGGACAGTCTTTGATGATTACAGAGGTCGGAATTAAGAAGAAAAAAAAATAAATCCCACCTTTAGAAGTCCTGAATAGTTTATGTACTCATTCCACAATTTTCTAGAAATGTAAAGGATTGATATTGTTGAGAGCTTTTATAAATCTCTTCTTCATCCTCTAAAGGACCTTAAAATCTTGGTCCACCTGAGGGCTGTTTCCTCAAAGCCTTTTACATTTCTGCTCACCCTACTCTTTCCTGTGGATCACATGAAGAAAGATTAATTTTACAATCTGAATTCTGGATTCTCTTCACTTAATATATATATATATTTTTTTCCTATGACAATTTTTATTTCCAGAACATCACTTGGGTTTTTTAGCAAATCGATTCTTCTTTTCAAGCCTTTTAGTTTTTACGTCATTTTTATTTTTTAAAAAATATTTTATTTATTTATTCATGAGAGACACAGTGTCTTCACTCAATATTTACCAGATTAAATATAATTTTTAAAGGACTATTTTTGTAGCTTTTACTTCTTTTCCAAATGACTATGTGAAAGATGGGGTAATTTAAAAGACAAGTATTTATAAAAATGTGACTTACAATTTATTTACTTATGTTTAGTTGATGACACTAGGAGGCAAAGTCAGATGGCCCCCATCTTCCCAAGCAATGTGCTAACAAGGTCACAGGCCTCCTGAGACAACAATCCAAGAGTAAGTCTTACGGAGGAGAGGAAAGGTAAGTGCTCAAGTCATACAAGTGTGAGGAATATGGGTTCAACCATCCCAAGATCCCGCGGAGCTGTCAACCTGGGATGTGCATTCTAGGCATCCCATCCCAGACACAGTGTGCAACAGTATGTGGGGGAGCTTCTAGAAACTAGTGATCCTTGCAAAACACTTTTGAGAGACGCTCTTCTAAAACAACAGTTATTAAACCAGAATAAATTAATTTCAATATTAATTTGCCTTTTACTTTCCTCAGAGCAGAAAAGGAGAAAGGTGTGGATTGTAGGTCCTTGACCATAATGTGCGTGGCATCCTCATCCACTAAATATAATTTCCAGCCAGTAGAAGAGATTTACAGTCAAAGAAATTTTTTTTTTTAATAAAATACTTTAAAGGAGCATTCCTCTGTGTTTGGTGACTCAGGGACAGAACTCTGAGCACATCTTTATAAAACTACTCACGGTCAGTTCCCCCTTTATGTTCGGTGCTGAGCTAACAGTGATCAACAAACTGATGTCTAAGTGGGAAGCAGTTCTTCTGTTTTCCAAAGATTTAAAATGAAAACTCCCCAAATCCGAATCTTTGAAAAAGGTTTTTTTTTTTTTTTTTGAATCTTTGAAAAAGTTTTGATGTATTTACTCTCTATCAAAAATCAGAGGTAAAGGTTTTCCAATACTCTTTTGCAAAGTATGGTCAAGTTTTGCAAATTGGGCCTTGTTTCTTAATTTGCAGTCAGTAGCATAGTCACGCCTCATTCAACTGGAAGTCTCCTGTCTGGGACTCTAGCAACTTCCCCCAACCTAGCTAGAATTTGGAGTGTAAATAGAAAGAAAATGTTAAGCGAAATAAATCTCATAAAATGCACACATGAAATCATGCATCAGTTAGATGCATCAATATATCCCATGTATAGTCCCAGAGCATGAAATAATTTTT